TTCTGCTAGAGAGAGATCAGCTGCAGCAGCAGCGGACTCCACCATATGGGAACTCAAAGACGGAGAGGGAACTGCAGCTGCAAAAGTATCAACTGCTGCGGCTTCTCCACCATCATCAGCAGTTGGAGGAGCAGCAGCGGCAACGGCAGCGGCTGCAGCAGAAGCAGATGCAATAAACGTTCCTTCATTGCGGGCACGAGGAAGGAATGCTACAGCTGCAATGGCAGCTACTACAGCAGCAGCAGCTTGCCCTGCATTTCCACCGATGCCGGAGCAACTTCACAGCACAGTGCGTACTCCTGCTGCAATTGATACCGCAGCTATTTTCTGTACAAATAAAGATACAGTGCTGTTGCTGCATGCTGTGTCTAAGCTGCAGATGGAGGCGCCTTTGCTGCTGCAGCAACTAAGGCAGTGGCTGCTGCAATCGCTGCACGAACTTTCGCCAGTGCAGCTCTGTGTTGCTGTGCATGGGCTAGCTTCAGCGAAGCAGGCAACTCCTCAGCTGCTGCACAGAGTTGCATCTCATTTGCTGCAGCCTCTGCAGCAGCAGGAAGAACCGTCTATAGAGCAGCAAAGGCGATATGGGGATCAGAAGCAACAGCAACTGCAACACCATCAAGCGCAACGACAGCAGCAGCAAGAAGAAATACCACAAGAGCAGCAACATGGACGTCTGCGGCTGCATGAGCTGGATGCAGGAGGCGCCATCATGCTCTTGTTGGCACAGCTGAGAATGCACCAGGCAAATGGGCGGCTGTGCCGCGCTGTGATGCAGCACATTCTGTCGGTCGGAGGCAGCAGAAGTAAAGGCAAAAAGGGGAGCAAGAAGAAGGGGAAGAGCAGTAGTAACGTTTCTTCCGTTCAAACAACTGAGCTTGCTGCTGCTGAGGAGGCCTGCAGCCGGAGTAGCAGCAGCAGCAGCAGCAGCGCCACATCGTCTCTTCTACAGCACCTGAGTGGGAAGGAGGTTGCTGTGCTGCTAATGCACCTGGCGAGACACCACAAGCTACACACAGAAACAAATCTTCAGTCCATAGCAACAGAGGGCATCATGCTGCTGCCAACCCTTGGAGACCGTTCGCTGCTGCTGGCAGCACATGCCCTCGCGCTGCTGCTCCCGCAGCTGCAGCAGCAAACAGACGGAGCATCAGCAACGCTACAGCAGCAACAACGGCTGGTTGCTGCTGTCGTTTCTTCTAGATTTGCTGCGCATCCCCCTGGGGGACGTCAGGGTTTCGCTCTGCTTCAGGTTTTGCATTTGTTGCTCAAGGGGCAGTTGCAGCAGAACTACCCTCCCACCTGCAGCAGTCTGTTGCAGCACCTGCAAGCCCTGCTTGCTCGACATGTCCATACGCTGACAGACGCGCAACTAGCTACGGCTGCTGCTGCGGCTGCTGCTCTCGGTTGTCTGGGCGGCTCCTTAAAAGACGAGTTCATCACTGAAGCGGCGTGCCGCCTGAACCGTCTTAACAGGAGGTATGCGGCAGCCCTTCACAACGCACTGCAACAGAAGCAAGGGCTGCAGCAGCAGCAGCAGCAGCAACAGCAACACATCTACGCAGCGGACTTGAATCTAGAAGAGGATGAGTGGCTGTTTGACTCTACTGAAGACTCTCAGCCAGGGGCTTATCGACAAGAGCAAGAGCCCCGGCTGCTGCAGGAGCTGCAGCAACAGCAGATGGCTGCCGATGCTGCAATTGAAGGTACTCTGGAGGTATTACATGGCCTCTCGCTGCGTGCGCAGGGCATTCCAGCTTGGTCTCAAGCGCCTCCTTGCGAAGGCCTGAAGTAAGATGCGAGCTAATGTGTTTGCTTGTCAGTCTGCACTGGCGCCACTGTAAGCACAAGGGTAGGTAATTGCGAAAGCTGTCCAGCTGAAACTGAACAGTGTAGCAAATGAGATAGAAGATAGAGGGAGGCAGCATTCCCGGTGCACTCATTTCAGCATTCACGAATAGCGTGCATACTGTGCATGCTATGCATTTACGACCGGATACCCTGAGCCAGGTCATAAGCTACATCCGCGACTACTGCCTGTATTGTTGCTGCTGTTTGGCGGTGGCTGTGAAAAAGAACGCCCAAGCGCCACGTTGTCTCTCTCTCTCTCTCTCTCTCTCTCTCTCTCTCTCTCTCTCTTTTGTGTGTGTGTGTGTGTGTGTGTGTGTGTGTGTGTGTGTGTGTGCGTGCATGTGCCTGTGTTTTGCCCTCACCTTTTTTCTGGCAATGTTTCACCCCGTCTCTCTATTTTTCCAGCTGGATCTCTATGAATGTTTAAGTGAATACCGTTTTATGGGCTGGTTTATTTGGATTTGATTGTATTAGTATGTTCTGCATCAAAATGCCGAATTGGGATCTCGTTCTAGGCTCGCCTAAACACACTTGAGGCGCAAGGGTTGGATTAGAATATATGGAGGCGGAGGGCTGCAGTAGGTAGCCGGCCGCATACAGAGGCAAGAACGCAGTTTGCTGTTGGTACTGCTATGACTCTTCCTTGAGGAAAACAGCAGGAATTTACTTTTTTTGTTTTTTGTCGTTAGTGATCCTTCCGTTGCTTATGTAATTCCTCAGCCTAGCTGCGAACCCCGCAGAGCCCGATACGCATAAAAATACACAACACCAATGCAACTAAGAAAAGATCAGATCAAATATGTTTGATAGAAGGGGCCCATGATGACCATAGACAGAAGGGCCTGCCCACATTACAGCAAAAGAAAGGCTGGCACCGTCTCTAAGCAAAGCAGCAGGGCGCTCCCCTAGGCGCCATTGCCCAGAAGCTTCTACACCGTCAGCACTTTCGGAGTAGGTTTGAGCACTAACCGCCTTGAGGCTGCCATGCAGGGGGTTTGCACACTCAGTGGCGACCCCTGCCCACAGAATTGCCTCTAGCGTCTTGCATTCGGTGTTTCTCTGGGCGCTTGGGGCACTTCCCTGTTAAGTAAATTTCCCAAATATACTCTCTAGCCAACAGTGGCTCATGAAACAAACTAATGGTGATGACCTAAGGACGTCTTGTCAGCGGTGCATTGTTGGCTTCTGTTCCTCCCATGCTTGCAAGGCGAGGGTAATAGGGCCCCAGCAACTCTAGATTTAGATACCTTACGGAGGCATCTCTAAGCACTGTACGCTGTAGGATATCCAAGTCATGTTGTTCCTACTTCTGGAGATAGGTTAACTGTTTGCCTAAACTAACAGCAGGCTATTGAGACCTTTGGCTCTATACGCCATGCCTTAGTCATGCTAGGGTAGCAACGTGCAAAGCTGGCCACAAGAACGCCTTAAGTAGTTGTTATCTTACTGCCATCTTACTGGAGGTGAGGCAGTTTAAACTCTTCGGACCTCCCTCCAGCTAACTAAAACTAGCGGCAGCTTAAACGTTGTGACCATAAAAGACAAACATTGGCCAAAGCTCATCCTTGCTGCCAATGCTGCTTTACGGGCAGCATAAAAGCTATGGTTAATTACTACGAAAAAGCTCCAAACCACATCCTTGTTGTTGGTGTTGCATTACAGGTAAGGGATTGTTCAACAGGGACCTTTTTTCCGGCACTCTGTTTTCTTTTGTCAGCTTAATGTACTCGAAGTTTTGGCCGTGAAAACCTAGGTCTGCTAATGCCCTGTTTTACCTCGGAAGAATATCCCAGTGTGCACTTTGAATCAAAGTGCAAACTGGGATATTCTTCCAGTATTACTGCTGTACCCAAGACGCCCAAAGCTCGTCGGAATAGTTCCAACTACCACGACATGAATGATATCAAGTAAGACAAACGCGCCCGAAGAACTCGAAGTCGTCGAGGAGAAGCAGTAAGCTCATCCCTACGCTTGATTTATAAATGAGTTTAGGAGCTTTTGGAGGGGATCAGGCGCCTGTTTACACTTAGGGTTCTCTGGCCCTATCTCTGCGCTGGGCTCGCTGTGGCTAGCCTTCGCTAGCCACGGCGAGCTACTTAGAGCCAGTTGCAGATACCCGCTGTGAAGCCTGTGAGCGGTGGGTATCTCAGCTGTAAACTGAAGTAGGGGCAACTGCTGGTACCGGACCCACCAAAGCATTGGTGCTACTGCAGCGAAGCAGCGGCTCCACGAGGATGTGTCGTACCGCAGATGCATCAAACAGGTTTTGAACGTGATGACCGCCGTTCAATTGCGTAAAGATGTCTTTTGGGGACTGGTTTGGGTAGCTTTGGCTAGCTGTGGCGATCTGTCAACGAGGGCCCGATATTTGCCGTCTAATATTGGAGCTGCTCTACTATGCATAGTCGGCATGCTGCCATTCAAACAGTTGCGACGAGCACCGAGCAAGAATAAGGTGATGTGCGATTAAAAAAAAATGGAACGGATTAAAAGTATCATTGGAGTATAGTGATAATTCATTAGAAAGCCTCACTGCTGCCGCTCCCGGTGCTCCTGCTGCTAACGGGGCCCTGTCACACGGCAGCAGTTCTTAAGTTTCTCCTGTTAAACTGCCGGAATGAATCCTCGGGTGACGTCCTTTCTTTAAGCATACATTTGTATTCAATTTTTATCAATCTGCTTTTGCCTCTGTTCCTCCTGTTGTGCGTCTGTGGGTCAGCATCAGCTGGTAGTGGGGGGCCCCCGCTCATTTGCGTGCAGCAGTTGAAAATGCAGCACTTCACGTCAACCGATATTCTTCTACTTTGCAACTTCATGTAAAGCTCAACTCTGCATAAGGGCGGTTGAGCAGCTATTTCGCGGATGCATCTTCATCCCGGCTGCAGCTTAGCATTTGGTCTGCGAGGCCACCGTCCTTTGCAGTCAAACTGGTGGTGCTGCAGCTGCTGCTGCTGAAGCCGCGCTTCCCTCTAGCGCATGAACCTCACTCCCGCTGAGCTGCTCTGCTCGTTTCTTGGCCGTCTTCTCTACACATCGCTCTCCTCAACCACAGTTGCAGCTCCTGCGCGTACTTGCAGCAGCAGCAGCTTCACTACTTCTGCCCCTTCCCTACACAGCCGTGCGTGCGTTTTTCATTGACTCAGAAAGAAATGGCGCTGAACCCAGTTTTAGCCGAGGACGGCTCTGGGAAGCTGTTTCCGCTCCCAGCAGCGGGCGAGATATTCTTCTTGCGGCGGGACAACATCGGTTTTCGACTGCGCGGCCCTGGCGCAAATCTGAAAGGCAGCGGCTGCTTTTTCTTGAGCAGCAGTCGAATCGTATTCCTGCGGGCAGGGAAGGTGGAGAGCCACGGCAGCAGCTTCTCCTCCTGCGAGCTGCCGCTGCACCTGATGCAGCAGGCGCAGTTCAAACAGCCCATCTTCGGGGCGAACTACCTTGAGGGCCAAGTACACCCCAAACAAGAAGCAGAAAACCCTATTCAAGGCACCAGCACTTTCACCCTCACTTTCAATGCTGGCGGCTGTGGCACATTCATTAATGTGTTCTTCAGGCTGTGGAAAAATGCACTCAGCCACCAACAGCCAGACAACTCCCTGCTGCAGCAGCTGCATCTGGGCGCTGGAGCAGCATTCGTTGACCCAAGCGATCCTTCTGTGGTTTACGTCACGCAGCCACAACCAGCGAACCAGCCGGGGCAGCAGCAACAAATGCCTCCATACTGGCAGCAGCAGCAGCAGCAGCCGCCCTACTCGCCGCAGCAACAGCAGCAACCGCCCTATTTGCCTCCGCAGCAACAGCCGCCCCACGCACCTCTGCAGCAGCAGCAACCTCCTTTTGCCCCCCAGCAGCAGCTGCAACCACCAGCGTGGGGACAGCCGACGCCACAGCAGTACCCGCAGCCATACGGAGCTCCGCAGCAGCAGCAGCCGGCACCTCAGGGGCAGCCGCCCATGTCTCCGTACTACCAGCAGCCGCAGCCGTGGCAGCAGCCCCCACTGTTTCCTCAAGGGCAGCAGGCGTGGCAGCAACAGCCATACTGGCAGCAGCCCCAGCAGCAGCAACCACAGCCGCAGCCGTACTGGCAGCAGCCCCAGCAACAACAGCCACCACAGCCACATCAACAGCCTTACTGGCAGCAGCCCCAGCAGCAGCAGCAACCTCCTCCACACCAGCAGCCGCAGCAGCAGCCGCAGGCGCAGCAACAGCAGCCACAGGCCCAGCAGCTGCGGCCACAGGTTCCAACTTTCCCAGAGGAGCCCGCTCGAACAAATGCTCAAGCGCCATCTTTAATATGATGGATATTTTCGTTTCTCTTTCACTTCAGCTGCTATAAGCCGTTCATTGTTTTTGAGTGCCTCCCCCGTTGCTACCCCAGTGGCGCTGTTGTCATTCACTGAGCTTACCCCTCCTTGATCACTTCAGGCCCTCACTTTATTCGTGTCTTTGCATTCCTTATTGGCCTTTAGTGTATCCTGGATTTTCCGTCCCCGGCAGACTGACGGATACAACTGCTCGATAGCGCCGCCGAACAGGTTTTTGGAGTTTGTTGAAACAGTGCTTTGGCTACGCTCGCCACCATATAAAAATTATCGTCAGAGCCGTTACATTTGCTTGCTGTTACTGCTGATTAAGTACTTTTGGCGAGTGCCACTATACGTCATAGCGGTATCAGGGTAAGAAGGTGGCTAGTACTTTACATTATGTAATGTCATTCATTCTTCAGCAAGCGTCTGCAGCTTTCAGCATCAGACTGTGACTGTTTATTCATTTCGTGAGTACGCGGACGCGCACATATAAAACACGGGCGAAACCACGAAAAGTACTGGGCCGGTCTACCCACAGAGGCAAGACGCCCTAAAACGCCAGTCGGCGGATGTTCCAGAAGCCCACAAAACAGCAATTGAAAAGGTGGTGGTTCCCAAGTAAATGTGCTTAAAAACAACTGACAAATAGAACAGCGACGGGAGTAACGCAGCAGCGCACTCTCCGGCACAAGCACACGGAAACTTGGGGGGGGGGGAAGCTGGCGAAAACAGATTAACACCCGGAAAGAAGATGCAGCACGGGTGTAAAGGTAGGGGGCAGCTTTCCTGCTGTTTACCCCTGGAGCAAACTAGCTCTAGTGTCTCTCTTCGCTTCTGCTTCTTTCACGTTTCCCTCTTTCTCTCTCCTCCGTTGTCCTGCGGTGGTGACCATTTTCCTTCACGTCATCGAAATCCTTTGCCCCCTTGCTGCTGCTACTGCATATGCTTTCTGGGTGCCTCTCTCTCTTGCTGCTGCTGCTTTCTCTGTGTCTCTCTCTCCTACTGCTGCTGCTTTCTCCATGCCTTTTCTGCTGCTGCTCCCCTCAGGGTCCACGTCTCTCCTGCGGCTGCTGCCTTCTAATTCCCCATCCCTTCTGCTGGAGCTGCTGCCACGTTCTAGTTTTCTGGGCCTTTCGTTGCTACTACTGCTCCTTTCTCGGCGTTTGCCTTTCTTGCCACTGTCTCTGTCTCTTCTACTGCTGCTGCGTTCTGTGCTGCTGCTGGTACTATCCCTTCTGCTTGAACTGCTGTCGCGTTCGAGCAATCTGGGTGTTCTGCTGCTGCTGTTACTTCTTTCTCGGCGTTTGCCTTTCCTATCACTGTGCCCGTCCCTTCTACTGCTGCAACGCTCCGTGCTTGTGCTGGCGCCGCGTGTTCTGCTTCTGCTCCTGCTGCGGCCTCTCCGTCTCGCCTCCTGCTGCTGTTCTGCATCACTTCCATTTCGCTGATCACGCTCGGATCTGCCGTTGCTCTCACTGCGCATATCATGTTTTTTCGATCGTTTTTTTGCTTCTTTCTTCAACTTCTTCTTCTCCTTTTTCAATTTCTTTCTTAATCGTTTGTCTTCCCGCATCAAATGGTCCACCTCCGCTTCTGCTTGGGCATTCAACTACACCAAGAGCAGCCACAAACAGAACGGAGCAGCGAGGTGGAAAATGTATAGAACAGGGAAGTTCACACCATAACGAATGGAAGCGAAAAGGTAGGGACAAATTGATTGATCCATTACACGAAAAATGCACATCGAAAACGAGCAAAAGGCATTGAGGTAGTGCAGTATGCAGGGCAGGCAGCGAACATATTTGACTGTGGAAGCGCCGATATACACGAAATGTATACGTGTGGGAAGCTCACATTTGAGATCATCAGCTCGAATTCTTCTGCCCACATTTCGTCTACATCTTTGCCGCCCTCTGCTGCGCTAGCGAGAGCCTGCCGCCGGCGCTGCTCCTTCAGCCTTTCCTGCTGCTGACGAGCCTTGTGCAACTCTTGCTCTCTCTTTGTGACAAGATACTTGTCAATGCCAGCTCCTTCCGCTCCAGTTGGCTGGTAAGGTGTTTCCTGCAGAATATCAGCGAAACCAAGACAACATGAGATTCATTGGGCAGAAGGTGAATAGTGGCGACTCATGCACAAGCCTAACGTGCTTCGCTGGCCAGTGATTGCCACCACATGCAGGTGCAGGTGGTGTTGCTGCTGCTGTTTGAGGGGCCGCTGACTTCTCCATCTTTGCCTGATGTTGGGGGCCGGAAGTTCTTGCAGTGGTCCACTCTCAGGGTTCGCTGCAGTAGCTTCATGCCATTTGCATTGTCTACTGCGAGAATAGTTGACCGCTGGTCTTCGTAACCCAGGAAACCAAAGCCGCGGGGAACCCCTAAGTGCCGTCACAGCGACGATCCAGAAGATGGACGGGGCTTGTGTTTGAACAATGTGATGCGAACAGCTTACTACGTTGTCTGCTTCTGCTGCTTTGTATAGGTTACATCTGCCTTGCATCCACTGAGAGTGAATAAAAAGGGGGGAAATTAGCGAAAATGAGTGAAGGGAGAGAAGGAGATGAACTGATTCAATACTTGCCTGTCTTCTGATCTCTGACTAACACCACGTCAATAGGCTCTCCCCATTGTGAAAAGACGATGGCGACGTCACCTTCTGTGAGGCGAGGATCCAGACCACCTGTAGAAAAATAGTACATGCAGGATTTAATCATATCACAGTGCTGGATTCCAAGAATAGATGTTTAGCCTTTCTCAGTAAATGGCAACTGACTTGCTCTTGAGCCCTAGCCCACCCCTTCTTTCTTTGTTACTCTAAGGATACTTGACGCTCTAGAGCATCTGTTAACTCGTACTTATGTAAATATAGCATGAGTCTTTGTAATGGTTATGCCAGGAGGCTTCTTGGCTGATCCCCAGTCTTAGTTCTTCTGCATTCAGACGCTGGATAGCGTTGATGTTGCTGAAAGCTCCGGTAACTCCAAGCGCCATTTCCACGCAAATAAGAGCAAAAGGGATTCGAGGAGAGAGAGGGACACAGAAAGCGGACTTCAAAAAAGTTGTGGTCCCCTTCGTCTACTTTCTCATCGTCAGCAGGCACGCGTGTGGCCTCAACAAGTAAGGTGATGTGGCAACAGTAAATTAGAAGGAAAGAGGACTAGCGACTCAATACGAGCAAGTTTGTAAACACAGATGCTACGCCTTGAAGGGCAGGAGGAATAGAGGAGAGACCATACTCTCCAAAAATCCACAGCCTAAGCTGGGATTTGTTCCAAAAGTAGCTTTGACATTCTGAAACTCCAGCTTCTGTTGTTTCTTCTGCAAAACTTCTTCAGGAATGTTGGGACTGCAAAAGTGCTGGCGAAAGAGGCCCTACGAAGAGTTGGCTGGGGGGCCCTCGTCGGAAGAACTGCCGAGCAGACTTCGGTGGGCTCCACAAGTAAGGACGAGATTTATCTTCTTTACAAATATTTAATCGCGAAAAATAGCGTCTTCAGCAAGGGCTTAGTGCGAGTTTCTTTCGTCGCCTTCCGTACCTTACCTTCTGCGTTCGCCTGTACAGGAGTCGTCCCGTCGTCGTTTCTTCCCACCAACTCTTAAAAAAGCAGCTTCTTTTTCTGTATTTTAAATTACATGCCATATGCTCGAAACGCACACACGTCACGCATGCACAGCTTTCACTCTACCTAGCGTGTCTGACTTTCCCTTTTACTCCCGCCTCCTCTGGCCAGCTCAGTCTCACTGAGTGACACGCTTCGCTTTACAAACAAGCACTCAGCCGTAGTTGCGAACATTCGAAGCGGCGACAGGTACAACACCAAGCGCAGCGTTAGCGGCAGCAGCAATGACACAGCAGGCGCCTCAGTCTTTCTTTGGCGAGCCTGGGTTCTCCGAGACTGCGGACTTGTACGAAGAGGCGATTCAAGGTATTTGCACTTAACTTACACTTCGCACTCACTTTTCTGATATAGTATGCCAAAAATGCCCCCAATGTCTGCTCGAACTTCATTTTCTTGCATGTATATTGGCACTTCTGGCTGTGTCTTTGGCATGTTGCTTCGTGCTATGCAGCTACAATATCTCAGTGCCAGTTGCTACAGAACGCCAAAGTGCTCGCGGCCATAGAAAAGGTAACAAATTTTCTCTGTCTTTTCCCAAGTGCCTATATTCGCCCTGTGCTTGTGTTTGCATCGAGACGGAGAAATGGCTTCGTTTCTTTCTCCCGCTGTTGCTTGGCAGATATTCTATCCCTTGAAGGCACTTTGCTATGTCGATATTTTAGTTTTTCCTTCGTGCATGTGGTTGCGTTGACCGTGCGTGCGCGAGCAGCCTGCGGGGATCCTTACAATTTGTGTTCCCGGCTTCCATCTTGTGCTACTCCACCACCCTTTCGTTGCTTGCCTTTCGTCCTTGCGATTTCGTAGTAATTCTGCAAAATCCTTGTCGCTTGCCTTTCCTGAGCTTCAGCAATGGCGGCAGTCGCTTAGGAGAAAACAGATTGAGCTCTCACGGGCTGCTGCTGCTCGTCAGGTACGGTCCCCTGCCTTTCCTTGTCTTCGGCCTGCGCTCGTCCTTTTGTTTGCCTGCTTTCATTATCAGTTTTGCTAACTTGCTGTTACTTTCCGTAACTTTTCTAGTTTTGTGTTGGCGATGGCGATATTTGCCGCTGCGGCCCTTCTCGTCTTTTTGTCGTATTTCTTATTTGTTTGCTGCTCCACTGCTTCGGTCCATCTGTGTATTCTTTGCATTTGCTTGTATGTTTTCTCTGACCCTTGTGCGCGTCATTTTAAGCGTGCTTCTTTGAGTCTTCTTTTTAACTGTCTGTGTATAGGCTCCTCCTCCTGTGTGTCTATTTTTGTATGCTGCTGCAGGATGCTGCATCAACAGCAGCAGCAACATCAGAGCCTCAAGCGGGAGCATCAGCTTCAAATGCCACTGAGGCACAAAGCAGTACAGGCGTACCGAGTGCTCAGTTAGTTCTTAGCTTCAGCGTTGGCAGAATTCTGTGATACCTTCCTCGTTGGTTTTGTGCTTTTGCTTAGCTGTGCCTGCGCTTGTGTCGCCCACTGGTTCTGCGTGTTTCTCTTCCTCCTTGTGATTTTGTGTGTATGACCGTGTTTTCCTCAATCACTCTTCTTCTTATGTATGGCGGTCCTCTTGTATCCATATTGCCCATTCTCTGTTTTTTGAGAGTCAGGACCTGCTCCAGGGTATCTCTCCCTCTCGAGATGTTCATCTCTGATTGTGCCTCTGCATGCCTGTACTCATGTATTTCTCTGTACTTTTGTGTCTTCCCTCTGTAAAACTCTGTATTTTTGTCACTTTCTTAGCTGCAGTTGCCTGTTCAAGTATGTCGTGTTTGTTTGATTCTTTGCATGCGCACCCATGTATAATCTTAAGTCAGCAAAAGCGAAGGTTGACAGTGTAATTGCTAGCCCTGTACACATTAAGTGTGTTTACGGTTCATTCCGCAAGAGAATTTGTAATCAAGTACTTGCCCCTGTCTTGCAGAAGTGCTGAGGCATCTACGGGGACTGCTGCGCTCTCAACAGAATCAGGAGAACAAAAACAGACAGAGGCAGAAGCTGAAGAATCAGGTGTGGTTTACAACTTATAGTTGTAAATATGTTCATTTCGTGTATCCGAGTGCAGCTGCTTCACCTGTTGTGTGCCTGCCCGAGGTTGACCCTGCTGTTCTCTCCGTCTGTCTCGTATCCCTGGGAAGCTCTAGAACACAAACAGAAGAGAGATGAACCATTCAGTGCGAAAATGTATTTTTCGATTTTGCAGATGATGATTTCGCCGATGCGGATATTGACGAGGCAGGCGAAGGAGTCAACGCCTTGGGGCAGAGGCTCGCTGCAGGAGCGGGAGAAACTAACGGTGCTGCTCGTGGAGTTGGTGGTGCTTCTGCTCACCAGGAGGTGAACAAAGACGTTCAAGAGAAACAGCAGCACCAGCAACAAAGTAATTGTGACAATTCCACTGCGCTGGATGAGAGCGGCAAGTATCACCTCCCTTTGTTCCTTAATCCATCGCCAAGTTATGAGTTTGTTTCTCTGCTACTGATGGGAACTGTATGTCGCTGTTTCTCGGCCTCTTGTGTCTTCGGCTTTCCCCTTATGACCTCTTCATTTTCTGCTCTGCTTGAATTATTGTTGCTCGGGTGTAGCAAACGGCTACTGGACTTTGGATGTCTACTTCTGTCATTTCGTCTTTGCTTTCCATGAGTTCAGCTGCCGCATGTAGACGTGTGTATTCCGTAGAAGACCTTGCCGACTAATCTCTATCTGCATTTTTTGCCGCTTTTTATCTGACTGATTGCTGCAGACGATGACCAAGAGGAAGGGGCCCACCTAACGGTGGACGATGTGTCCGACTTGGACGATGCGGAGCCTCAGACGACGGACGGCATATTTGCGTTCTTTGAAAAGGTAAATTCGCCGCACGTCTTTCTTTTTACTTAATTATGCATGTGTATATTCGTAGGATGATCGAAATCTCAGGCCTTCTCTTGTCCTACTGAGACAAATATTGGTGTACACAAATGCTCACCAGTTGCAGCAGCAGCTGCCGCTGTTTGGTCACTGCTTCTGTGGTACAGGTTGAAAGGGCGGCTGCTGGATCCTCAAGGCGTTGCAGCAAGTGGAAAGTAGTGCTTAGACATGGAATTCTCCGGGTGAGTTAGCATTAGGATGAATAGTGCAGAAATCTCGAGTGCCATTACCTCGACGCAGGTTAGCAGAGTGCAATTTAGACACTTTTGGGCCAGTCTAGACGCTTTAACGTTTTCATTCCTTTTGAGCTTGCATTAGATCATATTGTTGCCACGTCCATTTTCGCTAGTTGCCTACGATGACTGCGCCGATGCGGAATCTGATTGGCTACAGGTTGGAGGACGCGAGATTCCCTTTGATAAGACTACAGGCGAGTTCTCGTTCTGAGCTTCAACTTGAACAGGACGTCTGTCGGACGATGTTGCGTTCAAGAGCCATAGCTCAAGCGAGAATGAGCTACTCTGGTCTACAGACGGAAAGTCAAGCGGTGAAGACCAGCCCAGTCTCGTCGCAGTGGCAAAGGTCTTGACGGATTGGGTAGCAGAGGAGCGGATATTTGTTTTGTGTGGCGTCCACCTAATGTTCTACGTTAGAAGCCACAGCAGAACAGGAACGGCATTTGCCCTTTACCTCTAACCCGAGGCAAACTTGTGTAGTGGACTGTTCATGAGTGTAGTTGTTGCTCGTAGTAGATACGCATCTGCAGGTAGATGCTGGATCTACAAATCAGCGCAGCGCCGTCTGAAGCAGCTGTTCAGAGCTGCTGCTGCAGCGTACTGCTGCTGCAGCGTCAGGACTGTTTCTCACTGTGGTTGATTCTACAGTGCGCCTATTTTTACGGCATCTCGCGGTGGTTACTCTGCCTAGTTATCCCTTCACTCGTCCCCGCAGAACCACTTGTCTATTCTCCCCTTCTGCTGATTCAGCAACAAATGGTCTTTTGCAGATAAGCTGCATCTGAATGGCGTGAATAGCTGTAGACGTTCAGCGCGAAACCTCCTTAATCGTGCATAAAATTTATTTCGTATTCGCGTTGTAGAGGAGCTAGAGATGACGATAAAAGCAAGCCATGGGGCGTGACGACCCCACAACAGAAAGTAAAGGAATCCTTATTGTAAAGCATAGTCACATATGGCCATTGTGTATTTCACTATCAAGTTTTGTCGGCTTTCGAGACGAACATGAATCCTACCGTATTCGGCCTTGAGTACTCAAATGCAAATGAGTAATACGGAGGTTCTGCGTGCACACAAACTTTGCGCAGACAAATCCTCAGGTGCATGCACATCTCATACGCGCCTGTGCAACTCCTGAAGAAGCGATAGTACCCTTTCCTGACTGTTTTGCACTCGATGTAACCCCGTAAAGCCCTACTTCTCCCTGGGAGCACATTTCCATAGTGCCGCAGCCGCAGCGCATTTATACGTACGCCCCAAGCGGCCCTCAAGTGTACCGGGGGCTCTTTAGATGCACTGTAGTCAGAAACCGTTGTATTCTTTGTTCCGTTCAGCCTTCGAAACGCTACTGCGATGTACTGCTACTGCTGTGGTCTAAACTTATTGCTGCTGCGGCGTCATAGCGCAGCAGTCGCAGCGCACACAAGGAGGGCCGCAAGAGATACTGGAGGCAGGGAGGCAGTCTCTGCGTGGTATTTCCTACATATGACCACCGCCTTTGGGACTTTACTGGACCCTTTGCGCTTGCTGGCCAGCAACAGCTGCTGCTGCTGCTGAGGTGAGCACGCTGCTCTGGAGTTCGGGCCGGGGTGATCGAGAGGGCAAAGAGATATAGAGTCCAAGTCAGATGTCAGGGATACCAACGCATGCGCCACCTTTCTTTCAAAACCATTTAAACGCCACAGAACCAGCCATTCCCTGCCCTCCCGCTCATCCGCTTCAGTTTTTACTGCGGCTGTTCGCGCTGCAGCTGCAGCTGCAGCTGCTTGCCGCTGCAGTCGCTTCACGAACGACAGCATCTGCGCTTCTTCATCTGAGAAGGGCTCCTCCGACATGCCCTCAGCCCTGACGCGCTCAGATTCCTTATTCAGACGCATGCAACGCAGACTGCTGCTAGCGTTACTGCTGCTACTGCTGCTACTACTTAAATTGTTGCTACTATTGCCGCTGCTGGCGCTGGGCAGCCCCCCACGGTTGGCGCTGCTGCTACTGCTGCTGCACGTTAGTATTGGCTTATGCTTCTGTTGTTCCGGGGCGCTTGCTGCTTCAGCAGCATGTTGCTGCAGCAGCTGCTGCAGCCCTCCCTTGACAGAGGAAAGCGACGAATACGCCCCCCGTATTGCCTCTTCAAGAGCAGCACTGAGGCTGAAGAGAGTAGAAACGTCTTTGGTAATTTGGCGCATGGGTTTGAAGGCAGCCCGAAGTGACTTGATCCGCTGCACAGAGGGCAGCAGCTGCAGCTCCGACCCTTCAAGCTGCTGCAGCAGCAGCCGCTGCACCTCCAGCTCGCGGGCGAGAGCGGAGGCAGCAGGTGACCCTGCGGCCTCGGCGCTTCCCGTGGCTGCTGAGGCAGCAGTAGCTGCTGCTGCCGCTGCTGCTGCTTTGCTGGGAAACTCCATGTCTGTGTCGCTCTGCTCGTCCACAGCCACAGTTTGCCGCAGCAACTCGGAGTGCCGAAGTCCATCTGACGAGGCCGCGCGCACGGCCGAGCCCCCTGTCCGGCGCTGCTGGCGCTGCCATTGCTGTTGCTGCAGTTGCTGCTGCTGCTGCTGCTGCTTCTTCATGAGCCTGAGGCAGTGGTTTCTCCTTTGAGACAGCGGGTCCGCCAGCTCCGTCCCCCCCCCCTCTGGCACAGCGCCCGCAGCCTCTGCTGCGGGGCCCAGGAATGCCTCCGCCGTGCCTTCTCTCCTCTTTATGTACAGCTCGCGAGCCACAGGATCCTTCTGCAGCAATTGCCAACAAGACGGGTGGCAAGGGGCCCCCCACAAGTCCGTTGCATCGGCTGGATCGTCTCCAGAAGTGGAGATGAGGCGGCGAAGAGCAGCAACGAGCAGCTGCTGGTGCAGCCAGCGCCGGTGCTTGTGCCGCCCCGGCTTCTTGCTGCCGCTGCCCTCAGTTTGCTGCTGCTGCCGCCTGCTGCAGCGGACCCGCAGGCGACACACGTCTTCTCCTGCGCTGCTGCTCCCTGGGTCTGTGGTGCCGTGAGCCAGCGTGTCTGCTGCTGCTGCATGCGGCTGCCGCTGGCTGTTCGCTGGATTCGCAGCAGCAGTGCTGCTCCGCTGCTGCGACCGCCACCACACGCGCCTGTCCGTCGCTTCCGCCAAAATGCGGGGGATTCTCCCTGCTGCTGCTGTTTCAAGAGAGGCCTCTGTGTCCGACAGGCTTCGCGCAACAGCAGCAACGCGAGCTGCTGCCTGCGCCCTCAGTACTTCATTTGCAGGAGTAGGGGGGCTTATAAACAGCTTCTCCATAGCTACCGTCGGCGCCTCTGAGCCCCCAGGGCTCCCGGGGCCTTCCTTCTCCCCAGGGCCTCCGGGGGCTGCTGAGCCCTGTTCACCTTGGGGGCGCATATGGGGCAGGCAACAGCTGCAGTCTGCTGCTTCTAGCAATGGCAATAATGGGACAACGTGTAGGCCCCACTTGTGCTGCACAGCATGATCACGCCCCCCAGAGGAAACTCGCAGGCGCTCTCGGAAGTTAATTGGAAGAGCGGCCTGTGGAGGGAGAGGTGACCAGTGGTTCACCCCGGAACACTTAGTGCCGCATAGCGCAGGTACAGGGCCTGGGAGAAAGGATCCGGGGAAAGTTTCGGACAAGCCGAGCAGTGTGCTCCAAGTCTAGCAAACAGCAGAAGTGGAGGCTCTCACGATGAGGCGCCTGCCGTGCGTACTACTAGGGGTGGTCTACCGCCATAGTTAGAAATGGAGAAAAACAAAAGGATATGAATTGTCTTGTTTTTGAATGTTCTTTTCGGCAATAGATGAGGGGGCTGGCTGGCTGGCATTGGCTGGCGCATGTGGACAGCGCGTTGCGAGTTGCAGTTACAGTTAATTCGAAAACACACGGCATACTCAAATGGTTCTTCTTTTAGCAAGGTCATACTAGTCAAAAATTTCGCCCGGAAACATGTTTAGGTGTCAGTGTGGTTCTCTAAACTTGTGAGCAGCTCAGTAGCTGCCAGCTTCTTAAACTGCTGAGGGTACAACCCTTGTCTCGCATAACGTGGCCATTCACCAAAGCCAAAACTCGCAGCTAGTTTATTTCATGAGCCGAATTGGATGGAGTATACTGCTTTTCTTTAGAGCTATCGACCCCAGCTGTTCAAGAAGCTTGAAATGGGCTCCATCTGAAATCTGCAAGAGAAGCACGGAGACAGATAAAGGGTTGTTCCCACATCTTAACTGCGTATCAAACAGTAGCGCTAACAAATTATTCAATTAGCTTCGAGGTAAACTTATTATTTCATCAATGTCTCACTAAACACTAAGCCTAAGTGGTGAGCTGCCCGTGTCGACTCCGCCCCACAGACGAGCAGCAAGGGCAGAAGAAAATGCGCTGAAGCATGGTACTTCAGCAAAGGTGGGCAGAATCGCAACATTCAGGGAATAAACATTAACGCTACCGCACTAATGCAGAATTGAAATTTTCATTCTTTACGCTGAGAGTAAAGGAGGTACAGCGGCGGTGCAATAGCGCGGGCTCGTGTTCTTTTGTCAAAGGTCGGAAGTAAGGAATTGTAACTATTTGTTTCATGTCTCTAAGTTGCTTTGTTCAGACCAGGCATATCATGCGACTGTGGTGAGACTGAAGGAACAGTGCGACGCTGCAGCTAAACTGTACCTCAGGTTGCCCGTCATCAATGTGGACATTGCACACTTCACCCAGGTTTACAAAATAATGATACAAAGGGTCTAGCAACTAGGTCAAAGACAAACTAAAGCAATAAGTGCTGCTGGAAGTCCTATTAGATGCCGCCGTTTTCTGCGATCTCAAGCCACCGCGGGACCTTAACCACCCAACCTTAGCGGCGGAGTGCTATGAACAGCCCCTAGTCCAAAGCTAGGTTTTTGAGGGTAAAAATGCTCAATGAAAAAGTGTATTCCACCGTTTTTTTAATGTCCCTTGCACAGCTACCGTTGCCTACACGGAGACCCGTATGTACCTGCACTGTCGTTTCGCCACGAAAGAATGCATGTGAAAAAAGCAAAATGCAGTAGAAACCTAGTGTGGGAGATCATGGCCCTGCGGGGTAAGTATTTGCTTTGAATCTACCGGCCTACCTACTCTAAGCTGACAATAAGGCGTATCTACAGATGGCGTTTTTTGGGATCTCCCCCTTTGTATCGTTATTTTCAGTTTGTAAATCTCTTTCTTAACAGGAAGCTATTGTGTATTTGCTTGCAAATATTCACAACAGTTGTTTCCACCCGCTGTCATGCTGTCTGCTTTTGGCTGCATCTTGCATCACGGCTGTTACCCGCCATTATGTGCACGAATACATGGCTATTGTGTTGCAGCTAATAAAATCTAATCGGGTTTGTAACTGAAATGTAAAGGGAGAGACAGGACAAAGTAAATGGTTGCAGCGACGCCAACTCAACTTGAGCGGTCGCCATGGCTTCACTTATCATTGCAGCAAAAAATGGCGTTCAAAGTGTGCAAAGCTTGTTCGCCTAGCTTATTAAAAAGCATTTCCACCAGCTGGTGCTTCTTGTAGTAGTTGGGGAGGACCGAAGCCCCCACAAAGGTCTTGAGTTATGAATTCGCTTGCAGGTTCCTCTCAGGCGGCCTCTGGGTCCTCCTCAGTGGGGGCCTGCAGTGACAGCGGCACCGGAGGGCCAAACATCTCTCTCTCAGTTTTCCCTTTACTTCTGCTTTCAACTTTTTGAACTCCGCACGGGAATGTGTGAGCAGGAAGGAAGCCTTCTGCCTTTTGTAAAGCAGCTTCATCTGAAGCAGGTACTTACGAGTTAGGCGCAAAGGGTGGCCCTCTGGCAAAGCTATCAGTGAGCTATTTCCCATGGAGGGAGGGTCTGCGTCCAGCTCAGCCTCAGCCGTATTTGCAGACTCTGCCTTGGCTTCACATTGAAGTCCCGCCTGGGGATTTACCTGAGGCTCATCCTGAAGGGAATCAGCGTCACCTCCGGGCTCTGAAACGGAATCAGGATGCGCCTCACTCTCTTGGTGGGACTGGCTCTCGTTTGCACTCTCGCGTTCGCCGTTGCCGTCCGCGTGCAACTGTTCACTGGCATTTTCAGTTCCCGCTGACTGGGTTGGGTTCGCCTCTGAAGAGATCTCGTTTTGGGTCTCCGAATCAGAGGGTACACTTGTAATTACGCCGTCTGGGTAGTCTTCGACCTCGCACAGAGCTTCCTCGCAGTAGGTCGGTGTGTCAAACAAGTACTCAGCCAGCCAGTGTTCCATCTTCATGAAATGGCCGGCAAGCAACGCTGTGTACGGTACACAATGGATAAAAAGTAGGCAGGAAATACAAAAAAAACCTAGTAAGTCCTGTTCGAGTGTGTTAAGGCGGAGACAGAAGACAGCAAGTGCTGCCTCGAAACACGGAATGCGCGTGTCTCCTGCATGAACCGTGACTGGACCACCGACAAGTTGAGCACCAGCGCTGAAACCCCCACTCCATAGCATTTGGGAGTTCAATTTCACCCCTACTGATATTTCAGCATTGTTTGGTTTATTGTTTACATTGACTGGAAAGATTGTTCTCAATGGTTCTCACAAATTTGCCCAGCTGCAGAAGAAGAGACACTGCGAGTGCAGTGGCGAACCGCTGTTTCTACAAGCGAAACGCGGTCGAGGATCTCGCGGTAAATATCGCTGAGTATTGCTGTTTATCCCACAAAAATGTAACTGAAGAGTGATATAAACAAAGAGAGACTGAAAATGAAGGACGAGCTTTCCCCAGATCTCGTTGTGTTCTTCTCCATCGAGAGCAGGAGGCTGAGGAGCCTTCTGCACAACCAGTGAACACCTGCGTAGAAGGTCCTGAGCATTTCCCATTATGCTTATATTGGACTATCCTGTTTACTCAAGTGTACTATTTTATCCGTGTAGTTGTTCACGGGGCTTATACTCCTTTATTGAGTGCATTTGGCCTCCTCACCCGCTTATCTCGCAGGAGACCCCGTAGTTATCCCTTGATGGGGTGTGTGTGGTTGCGGTGATTAACTGGGTAACTCAAACGCCTTATACTTGGCTCAATGTGCATTCAACAAGCAAGTCACGAAGTTGTATGAAACATCAGAAGGTTCTCTGTATGGGGTATACATTGCGCATTCAGGCGGCTAAGTGACCCAAAGGGCAGTTTGGATTGTGAAAATGTAAGAATAAGCAACAGCAGCATGTGATGCAAAGCTTTACAGCCTACGTGGCCTGCGCTGTTTACTGGGTGTTGTGAAGCTGTAGTGAAACCCCTTTTGCGGCAGCCCCATGTGGTGGAAAGTGTCACATGATTCAGGCACTTTCAGCTATGTAAAACGATGGTGACGAAATCAAAAGATTCAGTTCATCAAGTTTCTTTTCTAGGACCAGTAATGAACGTACAGCAGCAACTCTGTTCAGCAGGTTGTAAAACATCTTGGATTACTTTTCTATAATTTACGCCCGAGATTCCCTATTCGAAATCGTGCAGCATTTTGAAGTACTGCCTAGCATTTATTCGCGTGTTTCGAAATGCCTAATCTCACCTAATTTCTCCTACGGAGTTTTTTTTTTAGGAGCTGATGAGGCATGAGATGCTGCAACTCGCGTTGTAACATGCATAGTTGTTGCAGCCGTATCTCGCGGCTTACCAGATTTGATAACACTAAAACATCAAAATGCTAGTGGGCTCCCTAAATGTCCCTACATCGTGACAAACGACGGGAGAAATATTAGGAAGGAGATGCTCTTATGCAGGGGAGAAAGAGGGTCTGGTTTCCGCTGCGACCACTTGAATCCGAATGCATACGACTGTACAGAGGTCATAAAAGGTCTTTTTCCTAAAGACGCAACAACAAGTCGCCTGAAAAGCCTCTGGAATATCAAGCAATGCTAAGTGAAATAAATATACGTGAAAGCCTCCTGTGGGGATCTCAGAGAACCACGAGTGCGTCCAGTTGACGAAAGGCACCACACTCACACGCTAAGCAGCATTTACATTCCCGTATGTAGGAAAATTTGTTACAGAGGACCAAGGAGAGTTGCAAGGGCCAGACGAGTTGTCTGATGTCGCAGAGAATATGGGCTTTACATTGTCACTGGAGCCACGTTGCAGATAACTCTGAGAGCCCCACACCCTTACATCACGAGGACTCAGCCATACTTAGTTGGTTTGCTTATTCATCGCAGGCGCTGGTTGATACTACGCCCTGAAGACGACTCTGCCAAAAGATAAAATGGGGAAACACCCGCCAGGTGAAGGAAGATTTGCGGCAGAGTAGCTACTGCAAATGAATCTGACTGAGAACAGCCTCTACTAAAGATACATGCTGATCTCTGCAGAGGTCACTGACATTGATAGGGAGAAGAGGAAGCAGAGCGTCTCGGACAAGGCCGTACGCGTAAATCT